AACAGCAAATAGTCTCTTAACATTGACAATTTGGAAACCCTTTCTCTAATAGTCTCACCTGTACGAAAGTTAAGTTTCCGATTGTCAATTTGGATATCTACATATTTAGTCGATTTTTTTTTAAAGTAATTTGGAAAATATGACTTGATTTAGATTGTTTGAAATTCAGTTGAATTTTAATCATTTCTGTTCAAAATGTATACATCAGATTGTTTTGGTTAGCCACCAACTTCTGATAATTTGACACGCACATTAATTTCGCAAATAATGATTATATCATTAAACCGTCTTCATTACTGATTGAAATATAGATTTAAAATGAAAATAAGTTAATGATATACAGTCAAAAAGAGCAATTGACCAATGATGATGGCTGCCATTAATGCCAGTTTTTCTTTATAGATATTTTGAAAGAAAAACAAATTAAAGTAGCAAATTTTTTAAGTTTTATATTTGGTTCAATATTTTTGAACTTATTTTGTTTTTGTTTCAGATACCAGCCCCAGGATATTTACGTCAGGACAGGTAACATATGCATCGGAAAGTAAGTATATTTTTTTTTATTTATTAATAGTTGTCTAATAGATATTAAAATAATTTGAATATGTATTACAGATAGACGGGAGCCAACAGAGAAGAAGAAGACAGTACAGTCCTAGACATGGAGATGATTAAATTGTAGATGCCAAGATGATGATGTAGGTATTTTGTTGTTACAATTGTACTTAAACTGTTAATAGTTGTAAGGTAATAAAATCAGTTTTCCCTGGAGAAACAGCTTGAAAATTTATTACAAATTAGTCCAAAATTTCTTTTCAAATTTATACTCTAATGAAAAAAGTATACTTGTACTCCAATTTAGGATTTGAATTAAAACATGCATCACATTAATTTCTGAATTAATTATAACAGCAAATAGTCTCTTAACATTGACAATTTGGAAACCCTTTCTCTAATAGTCTCACCTGTACGAAAGTAAAGTTTCGGATTGTCAATTTGGATATCTACATATTTAGTCGATTTTTTTTTAAAGTAATTTGGAAAATATGACTTGATTTAGATTGTTTGAAATTCAGTTGAATTTTAATCATTTCTGTTCAAAATGTATACATCAGATTGTGTTGGTTAGCCACCAACTTCTGATAATTTGACACGCACATTAATTTCGGAAATAATGATTATATCATTAAACTGTCTTCATTACTGATTGAAATATAGATTTAAAATGAAAATAAGTTAATGATATACAGTCAAAAAGAGCAATTGACCAATGATGATGGCTGCCATTAATGCCAGTTTTTTTTTATAGATATTTTGAAAGAAAAACAAATTAAAGTAGCAAATTTTTTAAGTTTTATATTTGGTTCAATATTTTTGAACTTATTTTGTTTTTGTTTCAGATACCAGCCCCAGGATATTTACGTCAGGACAGGTAACATATGCATCGGAAAGTAAGTATATTTTTTTTTATTTATTAATAGTTGTCTAATAGATATTAAAATAATTTGAATATGTATTACAGATAGACGGGAGCCAACAGAGAAGAAGAAGACAGTACAGTCCTAGACATGGAGATGATTAAATTGTAGATGCCAAGATGATGATGTAGGTATTTTGTTGTTACAATTGTACTTAAACTGTTAATAGTTGTAAGGTAATAAAATCAGTTTTCCCTGGAGAAACAGCTTGAAAATTTATTACAAATTAGTCCAAAATTTCTTTTCAAATTTATACTCTAATGAAAAAAGTATACTTGTACTCCAATTTAGGATTTGAATTAAAACATGCATCATATTAATTTCTGAATTAATTATAACAGCAAATAGTCTCTTAACATTGACAATTTGGAAACCCTTTCTCTAATAGTCTCACCTGTACGAAAGTTAAGTTTCCGATTGTCAATTTGGATATCTACATATTTAGTCGATTTTTTTTTAAAGTAATTTGGAAAATATGACTTGATTTAGATTGTTTGAAATTCAGTTGAATTTTAATCATTTCTGTTCAAAATGTATACATCAGATTGTTTTGGTTAGCCACCAACTTCTGATAATTTGACACACACACTAATTTCGGAAATAATGATTATATCATTAAACCGTCTTCATTACTGATTGAAATATAGATTTAAAATGAAAATAAGTTAATGATATACAGTCAAAAAGAGCAATTGACCAATGATGATGGCTGCCATTAATGCCAGTTTTTCTTTATAGATATTTTGAAAGAAAAACAAATTAAAGTAGCAAATATTTTAAGTTTTATATTTGGATCAATATTTTTGAACTTATTTTGTTTTTGTTTCAGATACCAGCCCCAGGATATTTACGTCAGGACAGGTAACATATGCATCGGAAAGTAAGTATATTTTTTTTTATTTATTAATAGTTGTCTAATAGATATTAAAATAATTTGAATATGTATTACAGATAGACGGGAGCCAACAGAGAAGAAGAAAACAGTACAGTCCTAGACATGGAGATGATTAAATTGTAGATGCCAAGATGATGATGTAGGTATTTTGTTGTTACAATTGTACTTAAACTGTTAATAGTTGTAAGGTAATAAAATCAGTTTTCCCTGGAGAAACAGCTTGAAAATTTATTACAAATTAGTCCAAAATTTCTTTTCAAATTTATACTCTAATGAAAAAAGTATACTTGTACTCCAATTTAGGATTTGAATTAAAACATGCATCACATTAATTTCTGAATTAATTATAACAGCAAATAGTCTCTTAACATTGACAATTTGGAAACCCTTTCTCTAATAGTCTCACCTGTACGAAAGTAAAGTTTCCGATTGTCAATTTGGATATCTACATATTTAGTCGATTTTTTTTTAAAGTAATTTGGAAAATATGACTTGATTTAGATTGTTTGAAATTCAGTTGAATTTTAATCATTTCTGTTCAAAATGTATACATCAGATTGTTTTGGTTAGCCACCAACTTCTGATAATTTGACACGCACATTAATTTCGCAAATAATGATTATATCATTAAACCGTCTTCATTACTGATTGAAATATAGATTTAAAATGAAAATAAGTTAATGATATACAGTCAAAAAGAGCAATTGACCAATGATGATGGCTGCCATTAATGCCAGTTTTTCTTTATAGATATTTTGAAAGAAAAACAAATTAAAGTAGCAAATTTTTTAAGTTTTATATTTGGTTCAATATTTTTGAACTTATTTTGTTTTTGTTTCAGATACCAGCCCCAGGATATTTACGTCAGGACAGGTAACATATGCATCGGAAAGTAAGTATATTTTTTTTTATTTATTAATAGTTGTCTAATAGATATTAAAATAATTTGAATATGTATTACAGATAGACGGGAGCCAACAGAGAAGAAGAAGACAGTACAGTCCTAGACATGGAGATGATTAAATTGTAGATGCCAAGATGATGATGTAGGTATTTTGTTGTTACAATTGTACTTAAACTGTTAATAGTTGTAAGGTAATAAAATCAGTTTTCCCTGGAGAAACAGCTTGAAAATTTATTACAAATTAGTCCAAAATTTCTTTTCAAATTTATACTCTAATGAAAAAAGTATACTTGTACTCCAATTTAGGATTTGAATTAAAACATGCATCACATTAATTTCTGAATTAATTATAACAGCAAATAGTCTCTTAACATTGACAATTTGGAAACCCTATCTCTAATAGTCTCACCTGTACGAAAGTAAAGTTTCCGATTGTCAATTTGGATATCTACATATTTAGTCGATTTTTTTTTAAAGTAATTTGGAAAATATGACTTGATTTAGATTGTTTGAAATTCAGTTGAATTTTAATCATTTCTGTTCAAAATGTATACATCAGATTGTTTTGGTTAGCCACCAACTTCTGATAATTTGACACGCACATTAATTTCGGAAATAATGATTATATCATTAAACCGTCTTCATTACTGATTGAAATATAGATTTAAAATGAAAATAAGTTAATGATATACAGTCAAAAAGAGCAATTGACCAATGATGATGGCTGCCATTAATGCCAGTTTTTCTTTATAGATATTTTGAAAGAAAAACAAATTAAAGTAGCAAATTTTTTAAGTTTTATATTTGGTTCAATATTTTTGAACTTATTTTGTTTTTGTTTCAGATACCAGCCCCAGGATATTTACGTCAGGACAGGTAACATATGCATCGGAAAGTAAGTATATTTTTTTTTATTTATTAATAGTTGTCTAATAGATATTAAAATAATTTGAATATGTATTACAGATAGACGGGAGCCAACAGAGAAGAAGAAGACAGTACAGTCCTAGACATGGAGATGATTAAATTGTAGATGCCAAAATGATGATGTAGGTATTTTGTCGTTACAATTGTACTTAAACTGTTAATAGTTGTAAGGTAATAAAATCAGTTTTCCCTGGAGAAACAGCTTGAAAATTTATTACAAATTAGTCCAAAATTTCTTTTTAAATTTATACTCTAATGAAAAAAGTATACTTGTACTCCAATTTAGGATTTGAATTAAAACATGCATCACATTAATTTCTGAATTAATTATAACAGCAAATAGTCTCTTAACATTGACAATTTGGAAACCCTTTCTCTAATAGTCTCACCTGTATGAAAGTAAAGTTTCCGATTGTCAATTTGGATATCTACATATTTAGTCGATTTTTTTTAAAGTAATTTGGAAAATATGACTTGATTTAGATTGTTTGAAATTCAGTTGAATTTCAGTCATTTCTGTTCAAAATGTATACATCAGATTGTTTTGGTTAGCCACCAACTTCTGATAATTTGACACGCACATTAATTTCGCAAATAATGATTATATCATTAAACCGTCTTCATTACTGATTGAAATATAGATTTAAAATGAAACAAGTTAATGAAATATAGTCAAAAAGTACAATTGATCAATGATGATAGCTGCCAAAAATAAATGTAAAAACTAAAGAAGCAAATTTTTCAAAAGTTTTATATTTGGTTTAATATTTTTGAACTTATTTTGTTTTTGTAACAGATTCCAGGAGCAGGTAATTTACATCATACCAGGCTGTCCCGTGGACGTGTTTATATTACAGACCGATGAAGCCCAGAGGAACATTACAGACAGATGGAGCCCAGAGGAACATACAGTCCTAGACCTGAAGTTGCCAGATAATGATGATGAAGGTATTTAGTTTTTACAATTGTAAAATCGATGCTGAATTCTCATCTAGGGGAATAAAACGTTTATATTTATGAACTTGTGCTTTTTTTTATACAGAATGAACATAATATCATTTTTTATTTTTCTAAGAATAAAATACAAGAAATATTTTTTTCTATATATTTCAATTTTGTTTTGATGCAGGCATCATCCACAATGTCTTTGGCCACACTCATTGCTGTTTAAAAAATCAGAGTAGGGAAATTATCAATTTTTATTTAACTTGGAAATCACAGTCCTTCATTGCAACCGATGTAATATGTGGACTTTTTTTCGCAGTTTTCAACTAAGATAATTTTAAGGTTAAAATATTTCAGTTATCAATTACTTTGTCAAATCTTCATAGAATTTTATGAAAATACGACAACAAACATTTATTTTCCACATTCAAAGTACCAAGAAAGTTATTTTATCAGTTTGATATTTGGTTTCCAGTAACATGAATAAAATAATATATCATTTGAAAAGTAAATTCTGAGACAGATTTCACCTTCAGGGGGAGGCTAGTACAACAAACAGCAAGAATGTGTCATTCAATGGGAGATAACTCATAGATTATTGAGAAAAAAATTTATGTTGAAACAAAATCAAAACATGTTTTGTTTTTCCAGCTTTTTTAGATATTAAACTGGTATTGATGCTATGCTAAATATTAAGTCAGAAAACTATTTTTTTTTAGCTGACAATTTAACACTTTCGTAAAATATATATTTTGTGTCAATTTTAATTCCTTTTTAGGTTATTACAGCAACTGTTTTCATGGATGGGGAGTAAAACTGGGTGGTCTAATACTTTTCATAAATTAGTAGGTATATAATTCCTCTGTTGAAAACAAATTTTATTTTCATCTTAAAATAAAAATTGATAGGAATATAATGTGCATTAGGCTTGAAAGTTTTAAGAGATTGGTCAGAATTTCTTTTTGTCTACTTTGCACCACAGGGGATATATGGTTATGGTCTTTGTCCAAGTGTCGTAAACACACTAATACTAATGGATGGTTGCTCTTCTTTTTTTTTTTAACTTTTTGTCAGATATTCAGAATCCTCTGGTTTTATCCATGAAGTGCCATTACAATTTTGCCCACTAACCCCTACTTATCTTTTCATAATTTTATAACATATAGTTTAAAAAGCCATGTTTGAAAATCTTATAAAATCCTTGTTATTTTTTGATAGTTCTAATTTGCTATAGAATAAATAAATGGAGAATGTGTCCATGAGACAATAATTCCTTATCCAGATAATCAACATGAAACATAAAAATATATAAAACAAAAACTCTATTTGATCTACAAATCATTGAGTCTTATCATTAGTGTTCTTTAATGTTATAAATAAATAAATCGTTTTTTCCAGACAAAATAACAACACGACTGGTGGATTCAATTCTAGGAACCAGTGAAGAAATTAAAAGTGAAGACTTGCGACGGAAAATCCAGGAAACAGGTCTTTTACTGAACAGTATGAGAGAGTCAAGATGATTGTTGGATTTAAACTGCTTGGAAAATACCACCAAATGAAGACAAAAAATGCACTGCATCAACAAACAAATCAACTACTGGAATGTCAGGGCATCAGTACCTAGTTCTGATTCTAAAAACAATTGTTCAAAATAAATGGAGAATGTGACACAGATGATGACCCTGCTTGCATATAACATTATAAAGGGACAAACAGTAAAATTGATGCCATTTAAATTCAAAGCTGAACAGTGTTTTGTGGTAACTAGCATTGTGTATCAGTTTTAAAACATTTGGTTGAGGCAAAGTTAAAAATGGTAACCACTTTTGGGATGTACAAACAGGTGGACAACACTTAATGCCCCCTCAGCTTCGGTGCTGGCATAAAAAATGAACTATATGTTAACAACAATCAGAAACAAAAATTCTTTTTAAATCACATACTATTGCCTTCCTTTTGATTCTAATATTCAAAACCTACCTCGATTAAAATATGACCAATTGCCATGTCGGTTGCTGTTAGAATAACAAGGCAAAATAAAAAAATATATATGTGTGGTTCCAGTTACCAGACCCACCCTAGAACTTTTTTTAATTCTATAAAATAAATTTTGAACAATCCTATTTTATGGAATGTGAATTTCAATAATTAAATTCACAGACTTCTGTCATATGAATTTCCAATAAAATTATCCACTAAGGCTTAAAATGCAACAAATTCTTAACAGAATGCAACAAAATTAACTAAAAAACATAACATGTCTGTGTATTTTAAAAACCGAAAAATATAGAAAATGGAAAACTTGCTGTAGGGGCGTGTACAATACCAGAATCGGACTCTGTGAACACATATTTTTTTTTCTGGATTTTGATAATCCCAAAAAACAATGCCAACCTACGGACCGTATCTTTTTTTGAGAATGTAACTGGAATTACGCATATATTTTTATTTGGCCTAAGTTTTTTTTTATTATGCAGATGAAGATTTGGATCCTTTTGGCTTGATAAATTGTCAGGAACATGAAGAAACTGAATCCATTATGAACATATGTACACAAACAGGTAGATATATATCTGTATATAGTATTTAAACAAAACATGCTTCAACAGTGTGCAAAATTACTGTTCCATTAATGTATTATGTATTTTAAGGAAAGATGGGGTACTTTTAACCACAATCTGAAAGCACTAAATTTTACTAATTCTAAATGTTAACTAGTATGTATGATTTAAATTGGTCTTGAGTTTCCAGGCTACTTTCTGAGAATGCACTAGCTAAACTAGCCTTTTGGTCATAAAATACCCTAATATAATTGATTCCCTATGCAGATAATCAACATTAAACAATAAAATATAAAAAAAACCTCTCTGTTTGATCTACAAATCATTGAGTCTGATCATTAGTCTTCTTTAATGTTATAAATCAATAAATCGTTTTTTCCAGACAAAATAACAACAACACTGGTTGATACAATTCTAGGAACTGGTGAAGAAGTTAAGTTTTACAAAATACAGAAGACTTGCAACGGAAAATCCCTGAATGAGGTCTTTTACTGAACAGTATGAGAGAGTCAAGATGAATGTTGGATTTAAACTGCTTGAAAAATACAACCAAATGAAGACAAAAAATGCATCAACAAACAAATCAACTAATGGAACGTTGGGGCATCAGTACCTAGTTCTGACTCTAAAAGCAATTGTTCAAAATAAATGGAGAATGTGACACAGATGATGACCCTGCTTGCATATATTAACATTATAAAGGGACAAACAGTTAATTGATGCAGTTTAAATTCAAAGCTGAACAGTGTTTTGTGGTAATTAGCATTTTATATAAGTTTCAAAACATTTTGTCGAGGCAACTTAAAATTAAAAACGATAACCACTTTTGGGACGTACATACATACAGATGGACAACACTTCATGCCCCCTCAGCTTCGGTGCTGGCATAAAAAATGAACTATATGATTGCCTGCATTTTGACACTAATTTTCAAAACCTACCTCAATAAAAATATGACCAATTGCCATGATTACCGTTAGAGTTAAGGCAAAATAAAAATATATGTGTGGTTCCAGTTACCAGACCTACCCTAGAACTTTTTTGAATTCTGTAAAATAGATTTTGAACGATCCCATTTTATTGAATGTGAATTTCAACAATTGAATTCACAAGCTTCTGTCATATGAATTTCCCATAAAAGTATCTACTATTGCTAAAAATGCAACAAATTCATAACAGAATGCAACAAAATTAACTAAAAATGTAACATGTCTGTTTATTTTACAACTAAACATATAAAAAATGGCAAACTTGTGGTAGGGGCGTGTATAATACCAGAATCAGACTCAGTGAAAGAACGATATTTTTTCCGGATTTTGACAATCCAAAAAAAAAAAAATGCAGATCTACTGACCCTGTCTTTTTTGGAGAATGTAACTGGAACCACACATACATTTTTATTTGGCTGATGTTTTTTTTTAATATGCAGATGAAAATATGAATACTTTTGGCTTGAAAGATTGTCAGGAACATGAAGAAACTGAATCCATTATAAACATATCTACATAAACAGGTAAATATATATTTGTATATAGTATTCCAACAAAACATGCTTCAACAGTGTGCAAAATTACTGTTCCAATAATGTGTTATGTATTTAAAGGAAAGATGGGGGGTACTTTTAACCACAGTCTGAAAGCACCAATTTCTACTAATTCTAAATGTTTATGTATGATTTTTCAAGAGATTGCAAGAAAGTACATGCAAACAGTAAAATTGATGCCATTTAAATTCAAAGCTGAACAGTGTTTTGTGGTAATTAGCATTGTGTATCAGTTTTAAAACATTTGGTTGAGGCAAAGTTAAAAATGGTAACCACTTTTGGGATGTACATACAGATGGACAACACTTAATGCCCCCTCAGCTTTGGTGCTGGCATAAAAAATGAACTATATGTTAACAACAATCAGAAACAAAAATTCTTTTTAAATCCCATACTATTGCCTTTCATTTTGATTCTAATTTTCAAAACCTACCTCGATTAAAATATGACCAATTGCCATGATTGCTGTTAGAATAACAAGGCAAAATAAAAAAATATATATGTGTGGTTCCAGTTACCAGACCCACCCTAGAACCTTTTTTTTAATTCTGTAAAATAAATTTTGAACGATCCCATGTTATGGAATGTGAATTTCAATAATTAAATTCACAGACTTCTGTCATATGAATAATAGCAGAATTTCCAATAAAATTATCAACTAAGGCTTAAAATGCAACAAATTCTTAACAGAATGCAACAAAGTTAACTAAAAAACGTAACATGTCTGATTATTTTTAAACTGAAAAATATAGAAAATGGCAAACTTGCTGTAGGGGCGTGTACAATACCAGAATCGGACTCTGTGAACACATGATTTTTTTTCTGGATTTTGATAATCCCAAAAAACAATGCCAACCTACGGACCATATCTTTTTTTGAGAATGTAACTGGAACCACGCATATATATTTTTATTTGGCCTAAGTTTTTTTTTTATGCAGATGAAGATTTGGATCCTTTTGGCTTGAAAGATTGTCAGGAACATGAAGAAACTGAATCCATTATAAACATATGTGCACAAACAGGTAGATATATATCTGTATATAATATTTAAACAAAACATGCTTCAACAGTGTGCAAAATTACTGTTCCATTAATGTATTATGTATTTTAAGGAAAGATGGGGGTACTTTTAACCACAATCTGAAAGCACTAAATTTTACTAATTCTATATGTTAACTAGTATGTATGATTTTTGCAAGAAAATGCATGCAAGCCTAATTACATCCTAGTTGAGTGCCTATGCGTGCCCTGTATTAAAGTACATGTACACAAATATATGCACAGCTGAATGTAAATTGGGTTAAAATGAAGCATTGCTCCAAAAAATTTGTTTGTTAAATTGGTCTGGAGTTTCCAGGCTACTTTCTGAGAATGCACTAGCTAAACTAGCCTTTTGGTCATAAAATACCCTAATATAATTGATTCCCTATGCAGATAATCAACATTAAACAATAAAATATAAAAAAAAACCCTCTGTTTGATCTACAAATCATTGAGTCTGATCATTAGTCTTCTTTAATGTTATAAATCAATAAATCGTTTTTTCCAGACAAAATAACAACAACACTGGTTGATACAATTCTAGGAACTCGTGAAGAAGTTAAGTTTTACAAAATACAGAAGACTTGCAACGGAAAATCCCGGAATGAGGTCTTTTACTGAACAGTATGACAGAGTCAAGATGATTGTTGGATTTAAACTGCTTGAAAAATACAACCAAATGAAGACAAAAAATGCATCAACAAACAAATCAACTAATGGAACGTTGGGGCATCAGTACCTAGTTCTGACTCTAAAAGCAATTGTTCAAAATAAATGGAGAATGTGACACAGATGATGACCCTGCTTGCATATATTAACATTATAAAGGGACAAACAGTTAATTGATGCAGTTTAAATTCAAAGCTGAACAGTGTTTTGTGGTAATTAGCATTTTATATAAGTTTCAAAACATTTTGTCGAGGCAACTTAAAATTAAAAACGATAACCACTTTTGGGACGTACATACATACAGATGGACAACACTTCATGCCCCCTCAGCTTCGGTGCTGGCATAAAAAATGAACTATATGATTGCCTGCATTTTGACACTAATTTTCAAAACCTACCTCAATAAAAATATGACCAATTGCCATGATTACCGTTAGAGTTAAGGCAAAATAAAAATATATGTGTGGTTCCAGTTACCAGACCTACCCTAGAACTTTTTTTTGAATTCTGTAAAATAGATTTTGAACGATCCCATTTTATTGAATGTGAATTTCAACAATTGAATTCACAAGCTTCTGTCATATGAATTTCCCATAAAAGTATCTACTATTGCTAAAAATGCAACAAATTCATAACAGAATGCAACAAAATTAACTAAAAATGTAACATGTCTGTTTATTTTACAACTAAACATATAAAAAATGGCAATCTTGTTGTAGGGGCGTGTATAATACCAGAATCAGACTCAGTGAAAGAACGATATTTTTTCCGGATTTTGACAATCCAAAAAAAAAAAAATGCAGATCTACTGACCCTGTCTTTTTTGGAGAATGTAACTGGAACCACACATACATTTTTATTTGGCTGATGTTTTTTTTTAATATGCAGATGAAAATATGAATACTTTTGGCTTGAAAGATTGTCAGGAACATGAAGAAACTGAATCCATTATAAACATATCTACATAAACAGGTAAATATATATTTGTATATAGTATTCCAACAAAACATGCTTCAACAGTGTGCAAAATTACTGTTCCAATAATGTGTTATGTATTTAAAGGAAAGATGGGGGGTACTTTTAACCACAGTCTGAAAGCACCAATTTCTACTAATTCTAAATGTTTATGTATGATTTTTCAAGAGATTGCAAGAAAGTACATGCAAACAGTAAAATTGATGCCATTTAAATTCAAAGCTGAACAGTGTTTTGTGGTAATTAGAATTGTGTATCAGTTTTAAAACATTTGGTTGAGGCAAAGTTAAAAATGGTAACCACTTTTGGGATGTACATACAGATGGACAACACTTAATGCCCCCTCAGCTTTGGTGCTGGCATAAAAAATGAACTATGAACAAGGAATTATTTGAATCTGGAATAATTTTGAATTCTGGAAAATTGATGAGAAATATATGATGAAAACTAACCCAACTAAATAGGGTTAGCCATGCGCGCATGGCTAAGGTGGGTTAGTTAGTTCATACTGAAATGATAGTGAAAGTAAAAATAACCTTAGCCATGCACGCATGGCTAACCCTATTTAGTTGGGTTAGTTTTCATCATACATTTCTAATCAATTTTCCAGAATTCAAAATTATTCCAGATTCAAATAATTCCTTGTTTATATGTTAATAACAATCAGAAACAAAAATTCTTTTTAAATCCCATACTATTGCCTTTCATTTTGATTCTAATTTTCAAAACCTACCTCGATTAAAATATGACCAATTGCCATGATTGCTGTTAGAATAACAAGGCAAAATAAAAAAATATAAATGTGTGGTTCCAGTTACCAGACCCACCCTAGAACCTTTTTTTTAATTCTGTAAAATAAATTTTGAACGATCCCATTTTATGGAATGTGAATTTCAATAATTAAATTCACAGACTTCTGTCATATGAATAATAGCAGAATTTCCAATAAAATTATCAACTAAGGCTTAAAATGCAACAAATTCTTAACAGAATGCAACAAAGTTAACTAAAAAACGTAACATGTCTGATTATTTTTAAACTGAAAAATATAGAAAATGGCAAACTTGCTGTAGGGGCGTGTACAATACCAGAATCGGACTCTGTGAACACATGATTTTTTTTCTGGATTTTGATAATCCCAAAAAACAATGCCAACCTACGGACCATATCTTTTTTTGAGAATGTAACTGGAACCACGCATATATATTTTTATTTGGCCTAAGTTTTTTTTTTATGCAGATGAAGATTTGGATCCTTTTGGCTTGAAAGATTGTCAGGAACATGAAGAAACTGAATCCATTATAAACATATGTGCACAAACAGGTAGATATATATCTGTATATAATATTTAAACAAAACATGCTTCAACAGTGTGCAAAATTACTGTTCCATTAATGTATTATGTATTTTAAGGAAAGATGGGGGTACTTTTAACCACAATCTGAAAGCACTAAATTTTACTAATTCTATATGTTAACTAGTATGTATGATTTTTGCAAGAAAATGCATGCAAGCCTAATTACATCCTAGTTGAGTGCCTATGCGTGCACTGTATTAAAGTACATGTACACAAATATATGCACAGCTGAATGTAAATTGGGTTAAAATGAAGCATTGCTCCAAAAAATTTGTTTGTTAAATTGGTCTGGAGTTTCCAGGCTACTTTCTGAGAATGCACTAGCTAAACTAGCCTTTTGGTCATAAAATACCCTAATATAATTGATTCCCTATGCAGATAATCAACATTAAACAATAAAATATAAAAAAAAACCCTCTGTTTGATCTACAAATCATTGAGTCTGATCATTAGTCTTCTTTAATGTTATAAATCAATAAATCGTTTTTTCCAGACAAAATAACAACAACACTGGTTGATACAATTCTAGGAACTCGTGAAGAAGTTAAGTTTTACAAAATACAGAAGACTTGCAACGGAAAACCCCGGAATGAGGTCTTTTACTGAACAGTATGACAGAGTCAAGATGATTGTTGGATTTAAACTGCTTGAAAAATACAACCAAATGAAGACAAAAAATGCATCAACAAACAAATCAACTAATGGAACGTTGGGGCATCAGTACCTAGTTCTGACTCTAAAAGCAATTGTTCAAAATAAATGGAGAATGTGACACAGATGATGACCCTGCTTGCATATATTAACATTATAAAGGGACAAACAGTTAATTGATGCAGTTTAAATTCAAAGCTGAACAGTGTTTTGTGGTAATTAGCATTTTATATAAGTTTCAAAACATTTTGTCGAGGCAACTTAAAATTAAAAACGATAACCACTTTTGGGACGTACATACATACAGATGGACAACACTTCATGCCCCCTCAGCTTCGGTGCTGGCATAAAAAATGAACTATATGATTGCCTGCATTTTGACACTTATTTTCAAAACCTACCTCAATAAAAATATGACCAATTGCCATGATTACCGTTAGAGTTAAGGAAAAATAAAAATATATGTGTGGTTCCAGTTACCAGACCTACCCTAGAACTTTTTTTTGAATTCTGTAAAATAGATTTTGAACGATCCCATTTTATTGAATGTGAATTTCAACAATTGAATTCACAAGCTTCTGTCATATGAATTTCCCATAAAAGTATCTACTATTGCTAAAAATGCAACAAATTCATAACAGAATGCAACAAAATTAACTAAAAATGTAACATGTCTGTTTATTTTACAACTAAACATATAAAAAATGGCAATCTTGTGGTAGGGGCGTGTATAATACCAGAATCAGACTCAGTGAAAGAACGATATTTTTTCCGGATTTTGACAATCCAAAAAAAAAAAAATGCAGATCTACTGACCCTGTCTTTTTTGGAGAATGTAACTGGAACCACACATACATTTTTATTTGGCTGATGTTTTTTTTTAATATGCAGATGAAAATATGAATACTTTTGGCTTGAAAGATTGTCAGGAACATGAAGAAACTGAATCCATTATAAACATATCTACATAAACAGGTAAATATATATTTGTATATAGTATTCCAACAAAACATGCTTCAACAGTGTGCAAAATTACTGTTCCAATAATGTGTTATGTATTTAAAGGAAAGATGGGGGGTACTTTTAACCACAGTCTGAAAGCACCAATTTCTACTAATTCTAAATGTTTATGTATGATTTTTCAAGAGATTGCAAGAAAGTACATGCAAACAGTAAAATTGATGCCATTTAAATTCAAAGCTGAACAGTGTTTTGTGGTAATTAGCATTGTGTATCAGTTTTAAAACATTTGGTTGAGGCAAAGTTAAAAATGGTAACCACTTTTGGGATGTACATACAGATGGACAACACTTAATGCCCCCTCAGCTTTGGTGCTGGCATAAAAAATGAACTATATGTTAACAACAATCAGAAACAAAAATTCTTTTTAAATCCCATACTATTGCCTTTCATTTTGATTCTAATTTTCAAAACCTACCTCGATTAAAATATGACCAATTGCCATGATTGCTGTTAGAATAACAAGGCAAAATAAAAAAATATATATGTGTGGTTCCAGTTACCAGACCCACCCTAGAACCTTTTTTTTAATTCTGTAAAATAAATTTTGAACGATCCCATGTTATGGAATGTGAATTTCAATAATTAAATTCACAGACTTCTGTCATATGAATAATAGCAGAATTTCCAATAAAATTATCAACTAAGGCTTAAAATGCAACAAATTCTTAACAGAATGCAACAAAGTTAACTAAAAAACGTAACATGTCTGATTATTTTTAAACTGAAAAATATAGAAAATGGCAAACTTGCTGTAGGGGCGTGTACAATACCAGAATCGGACTCTGTGAACACATGATTTTTTTTCTGGATTTTGATAATCCCAAAAAACAATGCCAACCTACGGACCATATCTTTTTTTGAGAATGTAACTGGAACCACGCATATATATTTTTATTTGGCCTAAGTTTTTTTTTTATGCAGATGAAGATTTGGATCCTTTTGGCTTGAAAGATTGTCAGGAACATGAAGAAACTGAATCCATTATAAACATATGTGCACAAACAGGTAGATATATATCTGTATATAATATTTAAACAAAACATGCTTCAACAGTGTGCAAAATTACTGTTCCATTAATGTATTATGTATTTTAAGGAAAGATGGGGGTACTTTTAACCACAATCTGAAAGCACTAAATTTTACTAATTCTATATGTTAACTAGTATGTATGATTTTTGCAAGAAAATGCATGCAAGCCTAATTACATCCTAGTTGAGTGCCTATGCGTGCCCTGTATTAAAATACATGTACACAAATATATGCACAGCTGAATGTAAATTGGGTTAAAATGAAGCATTGCTCCAAAAAATTTGTTTGTTAAATTGGTCTGGAGTTTCCAGGCTACTTTCTGAGAATGCACTAGCTAAACTAGCCTTTTGGTCATAAAATACCCTAATATAATTGATTCCCTATGCAGATAATCAACATTAAACAATAAAATATAAAAAAAACCTCTCTGTTTGATCTACAAATCATTGAGTCTGATCATTAGTCTTCTTTAATGTTTTAAATCAATAAATCGTTTTTTCCAGACAAAATAACAACAACACTGGTTGATACAATTCTAGGAACTGGTGAAGAAGTTAAGTTTTACAAAATACAGAAGACTTGCAACGGAAAATCCCGGAATGAGGTCTTTTACTGAACAGTATGAGAGAGTCAAGATGATTGTTGGATTTAAACTGCTTGAAAAATACAACCAAATGAAGACAAAAAATGCATCAACAAACAAATCAACTAATGGAACGTTGGGGCATCAGTACCTAGTTCTGATTCTAAAAGCAATTGTTCAAAATAAATGGAGAATGTGACACAGATGATGACCCTGCTTGCATATAACATTATAAAGGGACAAACAGTAAATTGATGCAGTTTAAATTCAAAGCTGAACAGTGTTTTGTGGTAATTAGCATTTTATATAAGTTTCAAAACATTTTGTCGAGGCAACTTAAAGTTAAAAACGATAACCACTTTTGGGATGTACATACAGATGGACAACACTTAATGCCCCCTCAGCTTCGGTGCTGGCATAAAAAATGAAGTATATGTTAACAACAATCAGAAACAAAAATTCTTTTTAAATCACATACTATTGCCTTCATTTTGATTCTAATTTTCAAAACCTACCTCGATTAAAATATGACCAATTGCCATCATTCCCATTAGAATAACAAGGCAAAATAAAAAAATATATGTGTGGTTCCAGTAACCAGACCCACCCTAGAAATTTTCTTTTTAATTCTGTAAAATAAATTTTGAACGATCCCCTTTTATGGAATGTCAATTTCAATAATTAATTTCACAGACTTCTGTCATAAGAATTTCCAATAAAATTATCCACTAAGGCTAAAAATGCAACAAATTCTTAACAGAATGCAACAAAATTAACTAAAAAACGTAACATGTCTGTTTATTTTAAAACCGAAAAATATAGAAAACGGCAAACTTGCGGTAGGGGCGTGTACAATACCAGAGTCGGACTCAGTGACACACAATTATTTTTCTGGATTTCGACAATCCCAAAAAACAATGCCAACCTAGCGACCGTATCTTTTGAGAATGTAACTGGAACCACGCATATATTTTTATTTGGCCTAAGTTTTTTTTTATTATGCAGATAAGGCCACACCAATTTGATTAATAGTTCTTTGGATTTTCCCGCTCCTGTTTTGGAGAAATTGACTTTTCAATAAAAAAAATAATTACCGCTTCCGCCAATTTTTGGGCAGCATGCCGCTCCAAAATTAGTTTATCCTTGATATTTTTTTTTCTTTAAAAGACGTTTTCTTGTGCATATATTGCTCCGATCGATTCAAACGCACGTGTGGTAAATCAATTTGTAAATAAAAGGTAAAAAATCGGGATGCCAAAATGAAGTTGTCAGATCATTCCCAAGTACAAGTAGTTATTAAACACAGTTATTTTAAACGCATTTCGTTTTACCTATGAAGACCTCTTATAGGAGACAAAAATAAAAAAAATCTTTCGTTAGGTGACCACGATCACATCAGTACTTGTTAGAAGTTAGAACCATTGTCATCCCCGATCATTGTTTCAACAGACATAGTCCGAGATTCCTCTGACGTCCAACGGCTGTTTTGCCAGACAAGATGGAGCGCTGTTAGCCCACGGCTCCAGCTTGTCTGGCAAAACAGCCGTTGGACGTCAGAGTAATCTAGGATTACAACAGACATAGAAAGATATATCTGTCTAACGGGATGGTGAAAGTTGACACCAGTTCTGTCTAACGGGATGGTGAAAGTTGACACCAGTAATACTCTCATTCCACCAGATAAGCTATCCAGAAACATCAACACAAATGGATACCAAGTACCATCTTGTAGGACCGAAGTGCGGAAGGAATCTTTTTACCCAAGGACGATACGAGACTGGAATGCCCTACCACATACTGCCACCAATACAGGTAGTCTTGAATGCTTCAAGACTTACCTGCATGAGATGAACTAGATCAACGCCAAGATGTTTTTAAATTCACTGTATATATGATGTATAGCACAAATTCAAATCAAATAAATATTTATTTTTTGTCTAAATTTTAAATGCGCATCCAAAAAGTGGCAAAATAATCAACTTATTGATGGTGGCCACGTATTGGTAGAAGTAGAAGTCTTGGATGAAATTAATATTAAATTCACACGAGTTTTAAAAAAATAACAGATTTATCTTATTTTGATGAAAACCTCATATCCCCTTGTTAGTCTATTGACATGCAATCAGAACTCTTTTGTAAGGGAAAATTTAAAAGTTCCAACGTTTGAGACCAAAGTGGTGGTATTGGGATTGGCATGCTAATAATAATTAGGGATGTGTTATTGGTGCAACCACTTACAGTTTAAAATACATTGCAGGTTTCAGGGGCAAAAGGAAAAAAATATTTTGCTAAGTCAGAATAATGCATGTGTATTTTAAGGGAATTTTTTAATAAATTGAGATCAACATGCATAGCAATATAACTATCTTACTGAGGATGTTGTTGAACTATTCACCTTACACATTATGTTGATCCTATTATGGATAAATAGTTCCAACTGGATGTCAAGCAGCCAATTAAACAATCATTACCATATAATAAAAACAACTATATCAAATTAAAAGATAATTAATATTTTTCTAGGGCATTCAGTTTTGTAATACATACACATATTTTAATTGTATTCAACACATTTCATTTAAATTCACCTCACTAACATAATTCCTCTTGCTAAACTGCATCTGCTATGCTTCCTTAATATATACACATGTATGAATTTAATTTTTAATGAAAATTCACGCAGAGCGGCAGTCAAAGCTTATTTGACTAAAAATAATCAAAATTATTCTAAACCAAAGCGAACCAGAGAGTTGTGTATGGTACAGACTGTACTACAGGCACAAATACATCAAGTTATATGAATAAAAGCATGTTTATCTTCCTTTTTCTTTGAAGTAACCAGTTTTACATGTACATAAAATTCTAAATCACACAATTTAAAAAAAATATTATACCGCTCGCTCCACTTGTAGAGCACCCGCCTCAACAAAACTCATTTTCAAGAAATAAATACAATCAAAAAAATTTCGCTCGCTCGCCCCATATTTTTTGGAGCTTTTGTCCGAAGAACTAAAAATCAAATTGGTGTGGCCTAAAGATTTGGATCTTTTTGGCTTGAAAGATTGTCAGGAACCTGAAGAAACTGAATTCATCATAAACATATGTACACAAACAGGTAGATATATATCTGTATGCATACCTGCCAACTGTCACTATTTGTGGGGGATTTCCCCCATGACAGTTCCCAAATGGAAATTTTGAAAGAGCAATTTTGTCGACAATTTAAAACAAAACAATCAATTTTACCATGGTTATAGGATAGTAAAAGAATGAAGAAGCAAAAAAAAACAACATTAAAATACATTTGAAGGACCCATTGAAGGTTTTGTTGGACTATTAAGACCCATCTCACACAGAAAACCCCCATGGGCATTATGAAATGTTGGCAGGTATGCTGTATGTAGTATTTAAACAAAACATGCTTCAACAGTGTGCAAAATTACTGTTCCATTAATGTATTATGTATTTTAAGGAAAGATGGGGGTACTTTTAACCACAATCTGAAAGCACTAAATTCTACTAATTCTAAATGTTTACTGTGGATTCATTTATTTTCGTGGGTACCAATTTTCATGGATTAAGGAAAACTTGCATGTTCGTGGATATTTAATTTTGTTGTTTTTGTCGAGCCTGCGACTTTTGTCGCAAAGGGAGACATAGCGATCCTACATTCAGTCGGCAGCGGCGTCCACAAATATTCACTCTTTGGTTAAAGTTTTTCAAATTTTAATAACTTTCTTAAACTATCCTGCATTTCAACCAAACTTGGACAGAAGCTTGTTTATGATCATAAGATAGTATCCAGAAGTAAATTTTGTAAAAAAAACATCCTGTTTATCTGTATTTTACTTATAAATGGACTTAGTTTTTCTGCCAGTTAACATAACATTCACTCTGTGGTTAAAGCTTTTCAAATTTTAATAACTATTAAACTATCCTTGATTTGTACCAAACTTGGACAGAAGCTTGTTTATAATCATAAGATAGTATAAGAAGTAAATTTTGTAAAAAAAAATCCTGTTTATCCGTATTTTACTTATATATGGACTTAGTTTTTCTGCCAGTTAACATAACATTCACTCTGCTGTTAAAGATTTTCAAATTTTAATAACTTTCTTAAACTATCCTGGATTTGTACCACACTTGGACAGAAGCTTGTTTATGATCAAAAGCTAGTATCTAGAAGGAAATTTTGTTAAAATTTGTACCTGTTTATCCGTATTTTACTTATAAATGGACTTAGTTTTTCTTCCAGTTAATATTAAATACAGTCTGCAGTTAAAGTTTTTAAAACATTTATTAGATTCATAAACTATCCTGGATTTATTACAAACTTTGACAGAACTTCTTACAATCAAAAGATAGTATCTAGAGGAAAATTTTTAATAATTTTTTCCCCATTTTTGTTGAGCCTGCGACTAACAGCAAAAGTAGGCGAGACACTGGGTTCCGCAGAGCCCTTACGAATTTGCCATTCTTTGAACATTTCATTTCAAGGTAAACCTATAACCACGAAAAGGTTAACCACGAAATCCACAAAAATTGTTATCCAACTATTAATAATGAATCCACAGTATGTTTGATTTTTGTCGAGCCTATGACTTTAGTCAAAAAAGCGAGACATAGTGATCCTACATTCCGTCGGCGTCGTTGGCGGCGTCCACAAATATTCACTCTGTGGTTAAAGTTTTTGAAATTTTAATAACTTTCTTAAACTATCCTGGATTTGTACCAAACTTGGACAGAAGCTTGTTTATGATCATAAGATAGTATCCAGAAGTAAATTTGTTAAAAAAAAATTTTTATTTTTTCCGTATTTTACTTATAAATGGACTTAGTTTTTCTGCCAGGAAACAATATTTTCACTCTGGTTTTTAAAATTTTAATAACTTTCTAAAACTATCCTGGATTTGTACCAAATGTGGACAGAAGCTTGTTTATGATCAAAAGCTAGTATCTAGAAGGAATATTTGTTCAAATTTGTACCTGTTTATCCGTATTTTACTTATAAATGGACTTAGTTTTTCTTCCAGTTAACATTAAATACAGTCTGCAGTTAAAGTATTTAAAACATTTATTAGATTCATAAACTATCCTGGATTTATACCAAACTTTGACAGAAGCTTCTTACAATCAAAAGATAGTATCTAAAGGAATATTTTTATTGATTTTTTTCGCTCATTTTTGTTGAGGCTGCGATTAACAGCAAAAGTAGGCGAGACACTGGGTTCCGCGGAACCCTTACGAATTTTTCAAGAGATTGCAAGAAAGTGCATGCAAGCCCAATTACATTCTAATTGACTGCCCATGTGTGCCCTGTATTAAAGTACATGTACACAAATATATGCACAGCTGAATGTGAATTGGGTTTAAATGAAGCATTGCTCCAAAAACTTTTTTGTTAAATTGGTCTGGAGTTTCCAGGCTACTATCTGAGAATGCACTAGCTAAACTAGCCTTTTGGTCATAATATCCCAATATAATTTAAATGATTCCCTATGTAGATAATCAACTTTAAACAATAAAATATATAAAAAAAAAAATCTGTTTGATCTACAACTCATTAATGAGTCTTATCATTAGTCTTCTTTAATGTTTTAAATCAATAAATCTTTTTTTTCAGACAAAATAACATCAACACTGGTTGATACAATTCTAGGAACCGGCGAAGAAGTTAAAAGTTTTACAAAATACAGAAGACTTGCAACGGAAAATCCAGGAAACAGGTCTTTTACTGAACAGTATGAGAGAGCCAAGATGATTGTTGGATTTAAACCGCTTGGAAAATACAACCAAATGAAGACAAAAAATGCATCAACAAACAAAACAACTAATGGAACGTTGGGGCATCAGTACCTAGTTCTGATTCTAAAAACATTGTTCAAAATCTTCTACAAGGTTTAGAAGACTGTACATACATGTATATATTTATATTTATATTTATATAAGAAAGGGAAAAAAAAATTAAAAAAAATAATGCATGTGCTTGAAACTTGTGTACATACATGTAATGAATAGAAAAAAGGAAAGAAAACAAAATGAAAACAAAATGAAAGAAAAAAAAAGAAAAGAAAGAAAAGAAAATAGAAAAGAAAGAAAAAAAGACAGAAAAATAGAAAAGAAAGAAAAAAAGACAGAAAAAAAGAAAAGAAAATAGAAATAAACAAAATGAAAAAAAAGAGAAAAAAAGAAAGGAAAAGAAAAAAAAAAGAAAGAAAAAAATATATGAGGAGGGAGGTGGGTAATGCAGCCAAGTAATACTGTATTCGCCAATTTTCATGCACCATAACACCCACAATCGTGATAGTACTCTTAGATTTGCCTAAAAAATTTGTGATTCAATAATATAACCTCATCATTCAGAAAATCTATTTTAAAAATTATCTTTACAATCATCATCTAGAGCAGACCAATATTTACATCTTTTATCATTTTTATTGATACATGTATATGATACCCCATTTTTAATTTCTAAATAAAACCAAGGTGCTTATTATTATGAATACAGTACAACTTGCCAGTCACAAGCCTGGAATAAAGAGCCACATTAAAATATCAAGAATTAAGTTAGTCTAAACAGGACTGTTCACAACTTGTTTTGCTATTATATGCTTGTCACTCATAGTTTTTTCATTTCCTTTCAATTAGGTCTATATATTCTATAGCATGTTTAGTTACATGTACCTACCCTTTTTCATAGTCTCGATATACAAACCCTTAATTAATTGCCTTCACAGTGTTTCCCATATACAAATGTACTCCAGGTAAACAAAATATTCTGGAACAAATTGTACATTCTAGTTGTACAGTATGTGTCATACTAGTAAAAAAAGGGGGGATACAAATTTTAAACTTTTAACATATATTTAAATCACGGATTTATTGTGGCTTTTAATGCAGAGTGAACCATCATATAGTTTTAATTTTAGATTTATTGTGGCTTTTAATGCAGAGTGAACCATCATATAGTTTTAATGATATTGTAGAACCAACTTGTAAAATTCAGAATTACACCGATTAATACATACGTAAAATTATGTATTGTACTAGGAATACACAAATCATATGATAACTCAATATAATTTATATGTAGTTTTTATTCTAGTGAAGACCATGCTCATTACAATAAAAATTGTTTACAAATATCTTTAGTTCAGAGATAGTTTCTTTTCATAGTCACAGTGTCTAATATTTTTTGTTCAACATACATGATCACATACAAAAGTCATGGGAATAACGTCAGAAATCTAAGAAATGTTTGAATAAATCAATGTTGTCTGCATGAAAATATAAATATCAACATATTACGTTTGGTTTTCATCAGAGAGTCCTTGAAGATAATCTGCTGATCCTCACTATAGAAAAACAACAAAATAGTCAGTCCTTTGAATATGGTGGAGGGCAAAACCTTCTTACCACCACTTATTGAGAACTCTGCTGGACTACATTTCCTTAATATGCCTGTGTAAAATAAACTAAAGGGGTCCATTGAAAAATGTCACGCATTTGATAAAAGAAAAAAGGTGCCAATGTTAAATGTATGAAAAATCTACAGAATCATTTCTTGCCAAATTTAAATGGCTTACATCTTGAAAATCAGGACATTTTTTTCGCCATTGAGCATGTTCGCCATTGAATGACCTCCCGATTGAATTCTTCTAAATTACATGCCAGGTCAGTCTCATATGTCTCAAACAATGTTGCGATTTCTTTGTTGGTTATATTTCCTACAACACGAGAAGCAGATACTGTGCAAAGAAGCGATTTTCTGAAGATATCATTTTTTTCTGCTTGAATTACAAACTATCGGATAAGGACCGAATTAACGAAAAATCTATCCTTGTTTTAATAAGTGCCTCCCCTTCAGAGATGCAAAATATGACACCCTGAGCGACACATTACATTTCAATGTAAAATTTACTTTAAAACCAATAAATTTTGACTAAGAAGCTGGCATTTGGTTAAATTCTATGATAGGAATTAGTTTCTTTATAAATCATACGGGAAAAAATTGCCAAAAGTAGTTTTATATCCTGAATCATGCATATGAAGTCTCAAAATCTGCAACACAGAAAACTAGCGGTACCGGCATTGTCATCATAATACTCAAAATAGTATCTATATACAGAAGAATACAGCACTAGGCTTACCGCATCGCGCGTAGCGCAGCGAAGGTTGGCATCTGATCACAAGGTGTTATACACCAGTGGCAGCATGTTCGCCATCGGGCAACCTCCCGAATGAATTCTTCTAAATTACATGCCAGGTCAGTCTTGTATGTCTCAAACAATGTTGCGATTTGTTCATTGGTTATATTTCCTACAACACGAGAAAGCAGATACTGCGCAAAGAAGCGATTTTCTGAAGATATCAGACTCCAGTTTCATTATCATGTGGTCTATGAACGCAAAATATAATGAAACTTTCCAATACTGTTTTGGCGTGTTTGCAGGGTGATTGGCTCTGGTAGTCTGTAGACCACATGGCCTCGTCATATTTATTCATATTTTGTTTTGCCCTTTTTTCAGCATGCCGATATGCACGCAACTGCATGTTGGCATATAGGGAGCTAGGTGTCTGGATATTATTGGAATCTGGAATAGTTCTGAATTCTGCAAAATTGATAAGGAATGTATGATGAAAACTAACCCTATTAAGGACGGTTGGCTGAGTGGGCTTAGTTAGTTCATATTGAAATATCAGTGATAGTAAAATGAACCTTATGTATAACTTACAACAAAATTATTTTTATTTACCTGTGTACGTTATTTTATTTGGTGGCATTTTGTCCAAGGTTACCGTTGTCTTTCTGATATTGTTTTACATCTAACCCCCTTGATATGTCTTTTGATTGAGTTAAGCCATTGCAATTGACATTTTATAGTGTGTTTCTATGTTGTGATGTTATACTATTGTCTCAGGTATGGTGAAGGTTGGCGCCTATTAAAACGTTTAAACCCGCTGCATTTGTTTGCACCTGTCCTAAGTCAGGAACCTGATGTTCAGTGGTTGTCGTTGTTGATGTGGTTCATAAGTGTTTCTAGTTTCTCAGTTTTTATATGATTAGAACATTGGTTTTCCTGTTTGAATGGTTTTACACTAGTCATTTTTGGGGCTCTTTATAGCTTGCTGTTCAGTGTGAGCCAAGGCTACATGTTGAAGGCCGTACTTTGACCTATAACGGTTTACTTTTACAATTGTGACTTGGATGGAGAGTTGTCTCATTGGCACTCATACCACATCTTATATCTACTTATGGTTAGTTTTCATCATACATTTCTTATCAATTTTCCAGAATTCAAATTTATTTCAGATTCCAATAATTCCTTGTTTGCAGTTTAAAATGTATGACAATGAATCACATTAATCAGAGACATATATACATGTATATATGTCTCTGCTTTAATAAGAATAATAAAAGAGTTAATCTTTAATTGTAATTCCCAGTTAATTAGTGTTTTCCTTTTTCAATTTCATAAAATAAGGCAGAGAAATTGAAAAGTGTCTATTTCATTTTCAGATAACAATTCCTGTGCCTGCATAAAATAATTGTGTGATTAATTCTGTAACTGTAATCAAGATTCAAGGTGTAGGTCAAGCACCTGACCCTGGAGACCTTTTTTTTCTGATCGATTATATCAGGGTTTTTTTTATCTCTAGTTGTTCCTGGCCGGCCATGACCGTCTATGAAGGGGTGTATTTAGTCAAAGTTGGTTTGGTTGTATTTAGGATAATAAATATACATAGGAATTGTATGATTTTGAATTATGTATGCATTGCAATAATAGTATTTGTGAATATTTATATAATACAATCTGGCATACATCGAGCATAACAGGCTGTCAGCAAAGTAAGATTATGTTTGTGTTGTGTTATATTTGTAGTTAATGCACAAAATCAATTTTTGTCTTTCTCATTCCCTAGTAAGGTCCTACCCTAGAGTTTAGCTGGCATTGACAAAAGGACTCAGGTTCCTAAAAGTGGGTTTTTACCTGGTCAGCCACGAATCATTGGAATGTAGTTATTTAGTTTTTCAAAATGAAATACATAAGGTTAAGATGAGATTATTTTTATAGTATGAGTTATTGAATTGATATTGTATAGTGTATTATATATACTGTATAGTGTATATAAATAATATAAAGGTGTAATACCACCATTGATTTTCCCATATTAGTCTTCGTTAAATTTGCACTTTTCAAAAAATTGTGCAGAATTTATCTGTTTCAAATAAAGAAATACTTGGCATGAGTAAAGTTTTATCCTTTCCAGTACTATAAAAAATATTTCACATAACATTTCATGGCATATAAAAAAATAACCAACACTGGAAGTTAATTAATTAAATTTTCACTTTTTTAACCTGTGTACAAGCTTTAGTAACCATGTAACCTCAAGTTTCCAAAATATTCTATAGAAACCCCAAATTAAAAAATAATGGTGCTTTGAAATACCAAAGATATATGTTTATGACCCAGAAATGTTTTACTGCAATGAAATGTAGGATCAATTACCTACAACTGTCAAATTCAAGGGAATATTTTTTTCGACCTATTTTCATATGCAACCGGATGTGACGTACTATGATTTGGTGGTACTACACCTAAAGAAGACTTTTTTGTTAAATAAACTGAATGTGACTTTTTTCTTTTGTAATACTGGTTATTTCAAGCATTCCTGTCAAGTTCTGTCATAATCAGTTCAATAGTTTGAGAAAAATCTAGTATAATGTAAGACGACATCTACAGCTTTCTTTGAAAAATCCAAACCAAGCTGCATCATGATGGAATATAGTGTGGACCAATAAATGATCAAATATTTATCTCATCTGCCTACAAACAGTTGAACATGATACAAAAGATGACTTTAGGATGATAAATATTACTAATGGACCTCTTTGTCTTCCTTATAAGGTCTCTTTTGGTCGATTCATACCTCTC